TCAAGTTCCGGAAGTCTTCATAGTGCTGAGATTAAGTTTCCCTGCTCTAAAGACTTGCTTTGAGCATTTGGAACAAGGCGAGAAGAATGGTCGAGGAGCTGCGAATCTCGTCATGTGTGACCAAAGCGAAGCCAAGGCGATGACGCTTGCCGAAGCCGTGTCAGCAGCTTTGGGCAACATTTCCATCTCGCCGAAGAATTGTACTTCATCCGAATCCGAGATTATCGAGACGCATATTGCTGCGATGCAGAATGGCTCTATCAATGGTCGAATTGCTACGAAGAACAGGGCCAGTGTGCAGGCAGAAGATCCCGTCACTCTGAACACCGTCCCATCGGGATCTTTTCTTCTAGACAGCGACGATGATCCAAGGAGTCCCAGTCGCAGCTCTCTGACGGCGGAAAAAGCACTCTATCAGTCCTCAGACACACCAAAACCGCGTAAAAAGCCTCCCCCAATTCCTCCCAAGCGTAAAAATGTTTCCACCACCACCACCAAAATTGCGCCCATTCCTCCAGCAAAACCTCAATACTACCAGCCTCGCCAACCTCGCCAGCCCCGCATGCTTCTCGTAGATGACAACACCATCAATCTCCGCCTCCTACAAGTCTTTATGAAGAAGCGAAACTACACCTCCGTCCTCACTGCGCCCGACGGCCAACAAGCCGTAGATGCATACCGACGCGAGCTACAATCTCGACCTCCTGTTCCTCCAGACATTATATTAATGGACATTAGTATGCCGGTGCTCAATGGCTTCGAAGCAACACGGCAAATCAGGCGGCTGGAAGACGAATACAACGCAAGACTCAAGGCGAGTGGAAACGGAAACTCTGGGAAAAGAGCGGCGGATTTCATGGGCGATGGGGATAGGGATGGTTATAAGGAAAATAGGGGGTCGGGATTGGGAAACGGTTTCAATGTTAATGGGTACGGTAATGGTAATGGTAATGGTAATGGTAATGCCCCAACGCGACCTATCCACGCCTTGATCGTGGCGCTAACGGGCTTGGCGAGCGTGAGAGACCAGAAGGAGGCGTTTGTTAGTGGCGCAGATGTGTACATGATGAAGCCGGCTAGTTTTGCGCGGTTGGCAGCCATCATGGATAAGTGGGAGAGGGAAGGTGGAGGGTTACGCTCGGTGATCGTGTGAGCAGGGTACCTGTGGACAATGGAAATGAATGAATTGGATGTGAAGGCGAGATACACGAAATTGAGGACGTTTGGTCTGCGACGTTGGATTGGTCGGATGATTCCGTTTCTTGGATATATATATTTATTGAATTGTGAGCGTCTTGACTTCTTGGTCTACATGATTTAAATGTATGCAGGTATAGTCCGCATCTCCCAGTCATGTATATACATCAATACTTCTCCCGTACAACCACCATCTTCAACAAATCACCCACCCAAGCACATCCCTCCACCCACAACCCTCCACTCCACCAACCCCCTTAGCACAACCATCCCATCATGCACCACCGCCCATCTAATCTGGCCCAGACACCGACTCACCACTGCAGCTAGGCTGTTAATCCCTTTTTTGTCCAATACTGCGGTGCTGTCAAGTGCACTGTTGGGGACGTGGGTCTGCAGGTCGACGGCGAGGATCGTAGTGAGCAGGTTTTGTGTTGTGAGGATGGGATCCCAGATGATTTCATCAGAGGAGGAGGGGGAGAGAGGATGAGTTGGGTCGTGTGATGGTTCCTGCAATGATGGTACCGCTGATACCGGTGTTACCGGTAAACCATGAGCAACCGTAGACGCAACCAGAGAACAACATCTCGCCGCCGCATACGCACGTGCATGACTTACACCCCACACCACCAAGGTACCTAGATACAATGTCCAAGGGAGATGCCAATACCGTGCTCCATTGCCAATATCGTCGCTCTTCTGCCTTTCCTTCTCACTACCTTCCCATCCCAACACACCCAGCCCCTCCCGTACAAGCGCTGCAGCATGCCAAATTGTACTTCTTACTACGTCTTTGTCCCGCCTAACCCACTCCCTCACTACACGCTGCGCCCTGGCGTAATCGTTGCGCGCCACGGGGCGGCCTAGGATGTGCCGACTACCGGCGTAGATTTGTAGGTCGAGGAAGGGGGTGTGGAGGAGAATGTGTGCGGCGTGGTAGAGGGCTAGGGTTGCGGAGATGGAGGTCTTGGACTCTGTGGTCAGGTTGGGGGGCGTGGGTGTGGGTTTGGGATTTTGTTGGGGGATATGGGATTGTTGGGAAAGCTGGGAGAGATGGGTGGAGACGAAGTTGGTGTAATCTGTGTGCCAGGCTTTGTAGGCGCGGGCGAGAAGGACATGCCATTCTGTGAGGGGGTGAGTGGTTAGGACGCCTGGTGGAAGTTAGTGTTTGTGCTGGTTCTTGAGAGGCAGTAAAGGGGGTTCGACGTACCGAGAGAGGTCTGGTCACGGCGCTGCATATCCCATGCAATGGACATGAGACCGTGGAGTAGCAGTGATCGTGAGAAGAAGTTTAGATGCTTGGGTACTGAAGTCGTGTTTGGGTGGAGATACATTTTCAGACAGGAGAGGAAGAGGGGCGGCGTAGGTTGCTTTTCGCGTAGTTGATGCCATGATTCTGCTGATTCTGCTTCCCAAAGCGCTTGATCGCAGGGTAAGTGTGAGCGCAGCTCAAATGCGGACATGCATAATGATTGGCAGAAGAGGACTGCGTGTTGGGTGTCCCACATGAAGCACAGGAATGCCAGTCTGGAAGATGTCAGCGTAAATACCTTCATGGCGGAAGCAAAGTGTTTACCGTTTCTTCTGCTCCGCATCGCACCACATGTGCCAGTCTTCGTCAAGATAATCTGTAGCTTCCTCTAGGGTGGGCGTTCGAATGCTTTGGCAATCGCTCCGCCGAATCAAGTTAATCAGCAGGCCGTGAAAGAGGTGTGACATGTCATGTTGTTTCTGTCCAGCTCGGCTTTTCCCAAAGCATTCAACAAGTAATATGGTCTGCAGTACCCAAAGCTCCGGTTGTGCCGAGAATCCGGCGTTCGCAAAGATCTGAGGTCGAAGTACATCGTGTATGCAGACCTATTTGCTGTCAATAGCTGGCCCACGCTGGCCACAGGAAGTACTCACTGCAAGCTGATGCGCATCCTTCTCGCCATATGTGGCGCCGAGAAGCAGCACTGATATTAGAAGTAATGTGTCGACTTCTGATGGATCAAAGGTAGACATATGAATGAGAGGGTAGACAGAGTTGAAACGAGTGAAGAATAGGTCGCAGTATGTCTGCATACATGTGAGAGATAGCAAAGGTTCATCCCGCATGATTATGCTGCCATCCGGTGCGGCCGGCTGTATAATATCAACTAAATCTAGTAGTTGTTGTCTCGCGAGCTCGTCAATGATAGGTAGGCTTCTCGAAGGCTGGAGCAAGGACATGGGTCGCTCAATGTTGAATGGAGTATCGACGCTAAGGCTGGCTTCCACTATCTTTGCCGGTGCGATTTGAGGTGTCTGTACACATTCGGTTGTAACATGTGGGGTTGTCGAAATCGATTCAGTCGAATTCAAGTTTCCATCACTCAAAGGGGGCGTGACTAATGTATTAGTTCGAGAGTGCTGCTGTGGAGAGTTTCTTCGCATTGATGAGCCAAGCTTTCCCACTGTCGACATCGAGCTATCAGTATCCACATGATCAAGTAGAAGCCCGGACGCATGATCTAGTTGAGGGACCGCGTTATTGTTGAATGAATAGGCATCAAGTGAATTGGGTATTACAGGCTGATGGATAGACTCTGAACGGGCCTGACAAATGATCAGCAATGTCCTTGAGATAGCCTTTCCAAGGGAAGATTTGTGGACTTTCTGTGAGTATAGGGCATCTGAGGGTTACAAGTGGACCGTAATAGACATGGACCGTAATAGACATGAAGAGTGTGTAATAGTTCTACACATACCAAGTCCATATCAAAGAGCCAACTGTAGTTGCTCATTGTCGTAAAAGGGTTGTTGAAAGAGCTCGCCGTGTCAGGGTGAAATATGTCGTCAAAAGGCGTATCTGCGATTGTGGTCGTGGCAAAAGGATCAGGTAAAGTAGGTTGTTGAGGTCGTGTCAGATCGGTCGACCAAAAGCCGTGATCTGTGGACGAATATGTCTCTGGCGCAAGGAGAGCAGTGGGGTCCAGGGTAGTGGCAGGATAACCCGCTGTTATTCCAGTGTCATGATCGCTCCAGGACTGCGATAAAGAGGCGTTATTCGAGGTGGGCGGCGATATTGGAGCACTGTTTCCAAAGCTCGACAAGTTGGCAAAATCTGGCAACTGCTGCGGCGGATCATTGTGATCCTCTTGTGGTAGAGAGTGCGATCGCTGACGGTTGCCCACAAGAGTGGGTTTCTTGGTTACGACCTTGCCATCTGCATCCTTCCACATTCGTTTCCGTGTATTGAGGATGCCGAAACCTTCAGCACCGGCCTCTTCGTCCTTTTCGCGGTGACGGATTATGTGTCTTTCTGGTCATCGAGTTAGGCACTGTTCGAGAAAGCCAGTCATTAAAAAGCCCCTATAATAATTCCATGGACACGTGGAATTGCTTCCAGCTTTCGCAGAATAAACAGAGTATACAATGAGTGGGGTAGACACATCATGTGTATCCTATGAAGATGTATAGCAGAAGATCATGCTGGCTGCCTAAGAGAAGAAGCTTGCAGATACCAAATCCGTTATTCGTACGGGATCGATGACAGATGCATTGATGCATGAAATAGCGATTTTACTAATTGCTTCAATCCACCTTTTTGCATATATTCAGCCAAAGGAGTGGTGAAAGCACAGGCGGCTCAGTTGTAATGAAGTTCCGCACAACGCGCATTGATAGATACACATGAGACAAGGAAATATGCAATCTTACCAAGAAGATCTCTCCTCTTGAAGTGAGCGCGACATCTATCACATGTATGATCACCGGTAGAATGATTCAACAGATGCCTTTGCAAGTGCTCTCCTCTCGTAAAAGACCGTCCACATCCATCATTTGAGCAAACGAATCTCTTTGCCTCACCCTTTCTGCTAAGATCCCTTCTCTTTCTTCGTCGAGGCATTGCACTTGCGGAATCAGGGGCTGCATTTGATGCCATAGCGCAGGCAATAGTTTTCGATGAGAATGGTAAGTTGGGGGTGTCTTGCGATGAAATGGGGGTTTCCGGATGTCAAAGGCTGGCATATCGAGACCCACTGGTTGCCGCTTCAGATTGAATCATGCTTAACAGAGTTGAGGCATCCGACTATCGCACCGGGTATGGCGTTGAGATGTTTCACTAGGAAGCGGGGTTGGGAATACGCTAATGATGCATTTAGAGTTGAAGTTCAAGAGTGGGGGTCAGATATTCCTTCGGCTTGCCATACCGGTAATCAGCTGCAGAAAAATCATCCGGAATAACACATATTCCTGCAGCTGAATGGAGTTGCTATCAAGCAGTGTACAATAGCTTATTTTTGTGGCTATTGAGAGCGTTTGTCCCAAGCCCAAGTCCGTCTCCTGATTCTAATACCAGAGGGTTTTGTTGGCCATTGAAAATGGTAGACATATCACTACAGTACAAAACCGGTTTATAGTAGCCATATTTATCTAAAGTAGACTAAGAAGTGGTTTAGGTAGAAGAAGTAAACCTAAATTAGGTTTACTATACTATATATTCTACTTTTATTTCTACTTCTAGTAATCTACTAGTATTACGTAGTACTAACTAGTTTCCTACTAACTATTTAAGTATTTTACCCCTCCTTTCTTTAATCTTCTTCACCACCTCTACCTCTACCACTACCTCTACCACCTCCACCACCTCTATCACCACCTCCACTACCTCCACCACCTCTATCACCACCTCCTATTAGTAAAAATATTATAACTCATTATTATGTTATATGTGCGTATAGCGTGAAGCTAATCTTCTCTACCCCTTTTAGTCTTAGTTAAGTATTATAGCGTATAATAGAAATAAAACTTCTTTTTATACTTAATTTAAACCCCTACTATAAAAGTAAACTACTACTTTAATAAAAGTAAACTACTACTTTAAACCTATTTATAGGTATATATAAGGGCAGTTTACACCTGTATAGTAAACCCCTAGCGTACCATTCTACAGTAAACAATTTTTTACTGTAGTGTATACAGAGGTGCCGTATGGATGCTTTGATGTTGGGAGTACATATTGTTTTGCATGTACCGGTAAGATCTAGAATAGAAGCTTATCAGACATTTGTTTCGACACACCACACCCCAATCATCAGTCATAATTCAGGACTGCATGAGACAGACTGTCACTCTTGTACAATACTTAGATTTAATAGCAACGCAACACATTCGAACCAAACTGCAGCTATAATCCAGATAAGTGGCGCAGGGGGAGCAAATTCCTCGTAACAGAGTTGTAACAATGTAAAGTTCATACAGTGTCTCTGATTCCAACTCCACCCTTTATGCAACAGCAATCAAGAAGCCCATCTCCCCCTCCTCCCTGACCGTTCTCGCGCGCTCCACAAGCTCATCCCCAACCGCCAATCTCAACCTCTCGCTTGTCGCCGGACTATGCAATGCCCACCCATCAGTAACACTCTTCCCATTCATCAGTCTTGCCGCTTTGACTGCCTCCCTCAGCGCAAAGAACACCGTACTACCCATGAACAGCGGCGGCTCGCCAATACCCTTGCTACTCTGTACACTTCTTAGGTGGTTCCAAGACAGCGGATTACCCTCATTGTCGTGGCGAAGAAGACTGGCGTTGAAGACCTGCGGAATGTCGCTGAAGCCGGGGATCTTGTAGGTTCCCGGGCCGCGTGTATAGAGTTGGCCTGAGCGTGTCCAGAGGGATTCTTCGGTTGTGAACATGCCTTGGCCTTGGATGAAGGCGCCTTCGATTTGGCCGTAGTCTATAGCGGGATTGATCGAGTTACCCACGTCCTAAGATTGGGTCAGTTAGGGGTGTACATTAGTAGATTAGAAGGAGTTGATTACCATCATGATGTCTGTGCGTAACACAGTGTGGTCGCCTGTGAGGAGATCGAGTTCTACCTCAGAACAGCATGCGCCTTGTGTCCAGTAGTAATACATGGGTTTTACCGTCTCCAGATTCGTATTACCCCAAACGTACCCAATTCTGGGCATCTTCCAAAACCCGTTCGCAGCGAGATTAACGCGATCGATGTATGCTGCATGGGCGAGATCCTTGAGCGGTGCATCTTGTCCAAGCTTCTCACGATACGGCTTCAGCCGTTCATTTATCTGATCGCAAGCGTTCTTCACCGCCATACCGTTGAGATCAGAGCCGGAGGATGCGGCTGTTGGTGATGCGTTTGCGACTTGGTACGTCTGGCTGTCCTGAGTGTATATAGCGTCTAGTGATGTACCTAGTTCTTGTGCAGCAATTTGACACATCTTGGTGTAGAGCCCTTGGCCCATTTCTGTACCTCCGTGGTGTAATAAGACACTGCCATCGTGATAAATCTTGATGTAAGCCCCCGCTTGATTGAGATGCAATGCAGTGGCGAAGCTCAGTCCAAATTTCGATGGGACGATACAGATGCCACGCTTACGCCATCGGTTCTGTGAGTTGAATTCCGCGACCGCTGCTTTCCGCGTACCGTAATCGGCAGACTTTTTTAATTGCTGGAGTAGCATGGGAATATGCCAATCATCATCAATCTGCTGGAAGAAGGGTGTGCGCTCTCCGGGTTGATAGAGGTTCTTCCATCGTAGCTCGTCGACGTCCATACCCAGACCTTCAGCGATGTTGTACATGATTGTTTCTGAGAAGTACATGCCCTGTGGTGCACCAAAGCCTCGATACGCAGTATTACTGTGAATATTTGCTCGACAGACGTGGCCACGCAGGAAGACATTCGGGCATTCGTAGGAGTTGTCAAAGTGGGTAAGACAACGATCCATAACCGCGCCACTCATATCTTGAGAGAAGCCGGCATTGTTATACACATCAGCCTCAAGAGCAATAAGCTTGCCTTCTTTTGATACTCCGACTTTCCATCTTGCTTGAAATGGATGTCTCTGGCCACTTAGTATCATATCTTCATCGCGATTGAGCATGATCCGCACTGGTCGTCTCTCCTTCCGCGCAGCGATTGCGGTGTAGACTGCGAAGGGTATACTGCGAGACTCTTTCCCGCCAAAGCCACCACCCATTCGTTTGACTCGAGCATTCACGCGATTGCTGGGTACTCCGAGCACTGCACTGACAAATTCTTGTGTTTCCATGGTATTCTGCGTTGAGGACCAGACCTCCATCGCGCCGTCTTCGCCTGAGGGTATCGAGAGCGCGGCATTTGTCTCAAGGTAAAAATGCTCTTGACCACCTAACCTACTCACGCCCTCGAAAATTCTGTCACATTGGGCAAAAGCATCTGACATTTTGTCATCGATCGCGAGACCTTTGCGAAGAAATTTTCCATGCGCGTAGAAGCTATTGGCAGCGATGGCCTCGTCGATGGTGAGAATAGGAGTGAGCTCTTCATATTCGACCTTCACTACTCTTGCTGCTGCTTGCGCCTGCAAAGCGGTCTCCGCATATACCATGCCAATGACTTGGCCATGCGAAAGTACCTTGTCTTCGGCAAAGAACGGTTCGTCTTTTTTAATAGAGCCCCAAATATTTACGGTCGCAGGTATACTGTTTTTGTCAATGTAGCCGACGACTCCAGGCATTTGAAGTGCGGGCTTCCAATCGACGTTCAATATCTTCGCGTGTGCCTTTTTGGACATTACCAACCTTCCAAATAACTCCCGATCCAACTTTGGCATATCGTCGATATACTATTCGGTGGTCAGTATATGTTCTACAAAAATTCAGTAAACAATGCATACTTCCGCTTCACCTGTACATTGCTTCAATGCTGAAAGGTGCGCCACTTGCTTTCCGACCACTCGCTGCTCGTAAGGATTATAGTCGTCTCTGACGCCATTAGAGATTTCTCGGTGGATCTCATCAATTATCTGTCTGTCGACATTACCGAGACCGAGCTCTGCGGCCGACTCATGCCAGAAGCGGAAGAATAGTGAAAGTGTGAGCGTCTTGCGGTAATCTGCCATACCACCAGGTACTCCATAAGAAAGGTCATAGTCTTCAAGGAGAGCTGTGATTGCAGCCTCCAATGTCTCTGAGTGAAACCACGGCTTCCCTATCAGAGCACTTTGGGTCTTTGGAGACTCTTTTGTCATGGGCGCCATTCCTCCAAACACGATTGACACCTCTTCGGCCGTATTTTCTGTAGTGAGTCGCACACGGAAGGCAGCTGTAACGATAGCTATGTCATCATCTTTTCGTTTCGCTTGTTTGTACGCTTTCAGTACCTCTCGACAACCAAATGGCGCGAGGGGTATTCGAATACGATATAGCGAAGCATCGACCGGTAAAGAAGTTGTCCGATACGCGACGAAGAACTTCGACATTGGTATATGAAAGATCCCGTCTTTCTTACTTATCGCTTCCAGAATTGCCCCCGCCGCAAGTAATACGGGGTTAGCATCTGATATTGGTGAAGCTGTTGCGATATTGCCAGCCAGAGAAGCCACATTACGAATTTGTCGACCGGCGAAGTATCGTAGCTGTTTGCGGAGAGCCTCCAGAACCATAGCTCGCTTACCGAGTTTTGTATAGACCTGCTTGCAAATCTGTTCCAGCTCGGTAAGGGGAGTGTTTGCTGCGATGACCAATTCTTTTGCACTTTCCAAGGCCGCCTCCGAAGGCACCTTCGTCTGCTTGAGTTCTGCAATATCCGAAATATAGACGCAGACAGCAAAATTAGAATCTTTGAAACGGACTTCCACTTGAACTTCTGAAGCGCCGCTAACGAGTTTTGCGGAAGGATAAGCATCTTTCAGCTCTACCAAATGCTCAACCTTTGTAGGTCGGAACCAAATTTTCTTCTCATCCCCATAGCATAATGCTTGTGGCTCGTATTTCCATAGCGCAGGAGGAAAAATCAACTCTGTCTCCGGAATGTACTCCTGAAACTCGACTTTTGGTACGCCCTTGACTGATGATGCAGCTGGTGCTTGTGAGTTGGACGTCGAAGTCTTGACTTCGGCCGCCGCATCATGCTCTTTACTCTTCAGTGGCTTAGAATATTCTGCCCCACTGAACTCCGAATCTGGGTAACTTTCCTTTTTCGCATCGATGATTGTGGGAATGTGTTCATTCTCGAACGCCGCCGATGGCTCTGTTGGTGGTGAGGATGCGTCCGATCGACTCTCACTCGAGCTACTATCGGATGGCGTATTACGACAGCACCCCCCTGGCCGTCCACAAGAGTCTTTGGAGGGGCCTGCACAGCCTTCTTGAATGAATTCTATAATTTCTTTTTCAATCTGCTGATTGCCTATGGTTGTCGGCTCATCCTTCTCATCAAGCTGCCCTTTGAGGTCTTCCGTTACAAATGTCTTTGCAGCTTGGAGGATGGATTTATAACCTGTGCAACGACATAAGTTTCCATCAAGATGGCCTTCCATTTCGATATCCCGAGCACTCAAGTGGAACTTCCTGGTATCTGGATCGTACGCATTCCGTATCGTTGCGTACAGTGACATGACTATTCCTGGTGTGCAGAAGCCACATTGACTTCCATGCAGTTTCGCTATCCTCTCTTGCAGTGGATGCGGTCGAGCCACATTACCCAAACCCTCTGTGGTTATTACATGCTTTCCATCGACTCCAACCAGTGGGAACAAGCATGCATTCACTGACAAATGCTTGATCCGTCTCTTCTCGGTCTCGAGATCTGGCACTTGGAGTACAACCGTGCAAGCACCGCAACCGCCCTCTCCGCATCCTAATTTTGTGCCTTTCAGATTTGGCTGTGCACGAATGTAGTCCAGCAAGGTCCAGTGTGGATTCGGATTACTGATGATTGTCCTCTTCCCATTGACATAGCATGTGATGTCCGGGGACGTGTATGTTGATTCGATAAGAGGAGTAAGTGCCTCGGCGGCGGAAAGCTGCCGGGGTGGCCCCGAAGCCGCTGAACTGGGAGGAATCGGAAGAGACATGACAACGATTGTCTGGTTCCAACAACTTTTGTAGTTTCGGGTACAAAATGCTCCAAGGCTGAATATATTCTTGTTTCGGGATGTTACCGGCAATGGTTAACAGCCGACCCCTCAATACCAGTCATGATGCTGAGCTTCCTCACGTAATGCCATCGATGATTGGACACAAGACATGATGATTTCCAAGTTCGCCTCACAGGATCGTGTTACCGCAGCAGGCATCCCACTTTTGGATCGGAGAAGAGAGAAGCACTACCGGTATGGGCGGGGCGTTCAAGGGTAGGCGTTACTAATGCAAACCTTGTTCTGGCCCTCCCCCACTTTACAAACAACACCTCTCACAAACGATCATGGAGTTTTTGGAATCTACTATGGTCAGGGCTAGCACCAGTGCATATACATCAAGAAATCCTGACCCAAGATGTTTTATTTATCGACATTTTGGCACAGGTCGTCTTGATCTGAGGTCCTCCACCTAAATACGACCAGCCTACAATCATACTAGGGACATTCTCAACTATGCTAAAAGCCGATAGCCATGCTGGCTTCCAGCCACTTGAGGATACTGCGCTCTTCTCACCTCTTAAATTGGGACCTCTGAATCTTGAGCATCGTATTGTTCAAGCACCTTTGACGCGGATGCGAGCGGTCAAAGAAAGTGATGGTATCTTCGTTCCGAACGCACTGCACGGAGAGTATTACAGCCAGCGGGCCTCCAAGGGCGGTCTGCAGCTCACGGAAGCCACCGACATAGCCCATTATGTGAGTCTATTTGGACCTTGCTGTGAACCAAGACTCATTTATTCAGGCCAGCGGCTACCCGGGAGTACCGGGCATGTTCTCAAAGTCGCAAATTGCGGACTGGAAGAAGGTGACGGATGCCGTCCATGCCAAAGGTGGGTATATTTTCTGCCAATTGTGGCATACCGGCCGTGCCTCACCACCATCTTTCCGCGCTGGTGCACCAACAGTGAGCTCCAGCGTCGTTCCGATGGAAGGCAAGTGGCTTGATGGCGTTGCCTGTGCGGACCACCCACCCAAGCCTCTTAGTGTGGAAGAAATTCAGCACTGGACAAAGACATGGGCCGAGGCAGCGAAGAAGGCAGTTGAGGCTGGCTTTGACGGTATTGAAATTCACGGAGCGAATGGTTATCTTCTCGATCAGTTCTTGCATGACAATGTGAATACGAGAATGGATCAATATGGCGGTTCGATCGAGAACCGTTGTCGATTCCCTCTTGAGGTCATCCAGGCATGCTCAAAAGCCATTGGAGGTGATCGTGTTGGTATTCGCCTGAGCCCATACAACTACTTCCAGAATACGAAGGATAGTAATCCTAATGCACATTGGGCATACCTCTGCGACAAGATCGTGTCGTTACCAGAGCACGAGAGGCCTGTCTATGTACATATGTCAGTCAAGTTCATTTATCGAAATGACTGGGGCTGACAATCTCTAGGGTTGAGCCACGTTTCGACGAAGTCCTAGACGAGCAGGCTAAGATGGACGCGCTTGCAGCGTACACATTGAAAGGGGGCAAAGGCGTCGAGGCCGAGGCGACCGTCAAAGGCGAGGGCAACACTCTTGCAATTTTCCGAAAGATTCTCCAGAAGGGCGGTGTGAGTTTTTTGGCTGCAGGCGGCTTCAACAGGGAAAACGCTGCGCCCAAGGTCGAATCTGGTGACGCGGATCTCATCGTCTTTGGTCGGTGGTTCATCGCAAATCCAGATCTACCCAAACGGCTGGCTGAGGGTCTCGAGCTAAATCAGTATGATCGCAACACCTTCTACGGTGCGAATCCGCCTCAGAAAGGGTATACTGACTACCCTTTCTACCAGGAGACTGGCTCTGTGTGACTGCCTGGTAGGCTTTGATGCATTGATGGTGCTATGCAGACATGTCAGTAGAGATATAGTATAGAGACTAGACACTTTAAAAGACTGCAGATATAACAGATACCTTGATGGTTACTGAGGCAGTCGTACAGATGAATTATATGTCAAGCGTAGTTACACATTGTGCCTGGGTATTGGATTGTGCGGAAACTTGTAAATCTCCTATTGTGGAGTCTAATTCTAATAATCAATATGCATTGGCGAAGGCAATTGAGGGATCGAATGTGCTCAGGCCAAGTTGCGAAGATAGCCAATTATGGTCATAAGAAATAGGTTGCGTATGACATTTTAATTGCAAAATGACTGCTTACATTGCGTGTCCACAATTTCTTGCCTGTCTCTTCGAGAAAAAATGATATTTGCGACCTACCATTATCTTGTAACCCGAACATTCAGACTATGCTGTCAAGAGAACTGTGAATCTGTTACGTCACGCGGTGCAATCCATTCGACGACCACCTATATATTCTCAGAGTAGAGCTCTAATCTCTGGTTTCTTCGCCATTTCCTTGCGCTCCTGCGCTCGTGCCTCTGCATCCACTTCCATCCACCTCATTTCAACATCCTCTTCACAAACATACGTCAAAAGCCAATTTGCCACCCCGCCCCACCGCCATGCGAGCGGATCCTCTTCAACCCTCAACCCCTTTTCTTCATATTGCTCCGGACTTACCCTGCCCTTTCCATTGAATTCCCCAAACGCACGTAGCATGCGGTCGCGCTCCCGCTGCTCAGATCCGTCATGAAGGTGATACAAGTACTGTTGCCGATTTCCCCGACTAACAACGCGCTCAGTGCGTTCGCGCCGACAGCGCTCGTATACGGTAAGTGCGCGGCGTTTCTCAGCCGTGGATTTGGACGTGATGCGAGCGAGGCAAAGACCCAGAATATGGCCATCTTCAAGACTCATGCCAGCACCTGATGCAAGGTACGGTAGTGTAGCATGTGCAGCGTCCCCGAGGATGGTGAAGGCTGCGCTTTCATGAGACCACGTCGGATCCAGGCCTGGACGAATCATGAGGCGCCACTTTGCTACAGATTGGCAGAGTGCGAGGAGCTTGGAGATTCTGGGGTCCCAGTTTTTGTAAAGGGCGCGCATTTCTTCTACATTACCCGCAAGAGTGTTGGCCCCGGCGGGCATGTCGTCGGGCACTAGGAGGACCATGTTAAAGAGCTTGCCGCCGCGGAGAACGTAGTTTACGGCGTGTGCGTCGGGACCAATCCAATAGTTGACTTGAGGGTCTTCGATGAAACCACGAAGGTCGGGGTCTTTAAGCATGTCTGAGGTGTTGAGTAATAGGCGGTATGCTAGGTCTCCTGTGAGGAGTGGTGGGTCGTCGCGACCCAGCAAAATCTCTCGACATTTAGAATTGATGCCGTCTGCACCAACAACAAGGTCTGCTTTGTATCGTGCTCCGTCTGCGCATACTGCTATGGCCAGTGTGGAGCCAATTTGCAGGCTTTTCTCGTAGTCCACGTCTACCACCTTTGCCTTTGTCGTCAACTTCGCTCCTAGTTCGACTGCCCGTTCGAGTAGCCCCATATGCAAATTGGCCCTGTGGAAGTCCCAGAATGGTGTCCCACACTCTTTTTCGTAAGCGTGGAAATCCATGTCACTGATCTTGTTACCCTTCCAACCCAACATATTGCACAGTTGAGGTTGCGTAGCATGCTGTGATAAAAGTTCTTCTAGACCCAATGATATCAGTACGCGTGAGGCATTGGGTAAACATTGAATCCCAGCGCCAATCTCGCCGATCTCTGGTGTAGATTCTAGGATATGGACATTATGGCCAGCAAGTAGGATAGATATAGCTGCTGCTAGGCCACCAAGACCTGCGCCGACTATTATAACCTGTGGTTATTAGACTTCGTTGCGGAACGAGCAAAAGGATTCAGAAAAGAGACTTACATCAAGCTGACACGACGCAGCTCGGTGCTGCTTCTGCATGATATGAGGTTTAGGAGGCACCATGATGTCACTGTATTGCGCCTTCAACACTATCAATTTTCCAAGTTCAGAAGTAATAGAAGTGTTAAGTTAATAATCCTCAATACGGGTCATAGAAAAGCACAGGAAAAGATGCAGTGATGGGCTCATCACATATACACACTTGCCAGATTCCCCAACCCCTATTGAACATAAGACGCATAATAGCCATTGACAGCCTCCTGACGCAACGGATGCATCCAGTGGCGTTTTCGCGCCTAGCTATGCAGTGAGATATACCCGGAATGCGAGTGATAAAATGGGAGACGGTATGATTGGTTAGCTAGATGGTACTGTATGCTGGCTTTGGCAGGCTGTTTGTGCTTGAGATGCAAGAGTGGGGGAGAAGTGTGATGTGGTAGTGTTACATAGATGAGGGGGTTGACTACTACCTAGACCATACTAGTAAGTTACCGGTAGCTCCCGCGGCATCATTCCCCGAGGTCTGGGAATGGTTCAACTTCTTTCACCCTTTAGCTCCGAGATTCCTTTCCAAAAGTATTTTACTGAAGAAGAGTTTCTGTCACGTAGATGCGTTATGCGGGGCATTCAGATTAATTGTATGTTATATCTGCAGACAATGGAATATGTGGAAGAGGTCACAATGTCATTCCAGTAGCTCTACGCAGGTATTGGGCCATTGTAATCCACTAATGAATACGCCTTGCCTTCCTTCTGCAATTTGAGAATCTCCCCAGGAGGTGCTGGCATCTTAGCACCTTGTGGTACAGGGTTATTCTTCTTAAAGTCGTTCGCCATCTGCTCCATCGTTACCCACTCAACACCTTCGTGCTTGTTGATGTGTTCGATAACCCTGTGCTTGTTAACTCAAATGGCACTACTACTGCCTGTGTACAGTTAACGCACCTCTCATGCATCAGTAGCACATGCGGTCTCCCACTGACATCCGGGTGAATCGTCATAGGGAATACAAACTCATCATACTCCCTGTAGAAGTAATCAAAGTGATCCATCCATATCTGCTCCACATCCCTTGGGTACACCCAACCATGCGAATTCTTGCTGTTCTTAATGAACATCATTGGTGGTAAGTCTGCACATATTCTGTAAGTAGTGGCAAATTATGGGTAATCGCTGCTGTCCTGGCAAAGAAACTCACCATCAATGTACCACGATCCAGGGATTTCGACTAAACCTGTCATCTGTCCCTTGACTAACGGCTTCATCCACTCACTCGCCTTCTTCTTGTAGTCAATTTTTGTCCACTCGTCTCCCGTTCGCAGCCAATAGCACTTGTGGTCTTCATGCGACATAGAGTGGTCGTACTCAATACCATAGCTCAATAGTAAATCGCATCCCTCTTTCGAGGTTTCCCACCAAGGGGCGACGGAGCCGCGGGGAGGCTTGCCACAGAACTCGGTGAGCTGCTTGTAGGTTTTGTCAAGGACGTCCCGTTGCTGCTCGAAGGACATATCGACAGGATTCTCGTGCGAATATCCATGTAGACCAATTTCATGGCCTGCATCACGAACGGCGGCGCAGTCTTCGGGAAAGGTGTCGAGAGAGTGACCTAAAAATCTACATCAGCCATCAGGTTCTGGTCACCGGCTGTGAGTCTAGTGCGTACCAGGGATGAACCATGTAGCCTTAATCTTATACTTGTCAAACAGTCTCAGCAGACGCTGCGTTCCTACCGTACCAGCCCATAGGCCTTGGTTTGATTAGCGACAAGGCTATAATATATGTGTGTGAAGCGTACCTCTACTAATGTCACTTGTCGAGTCTTCACCGCCATATGAACCAAGCCATCCTGCTACAGCATCAATGTCCTAGATTATGACTTCAGTATCAATGAATTGGAATGGACAATTCTAATCAACGTACTACGCCATAGCTTACCAGCACCTTCTTCTTGCCCATGATGATCAATTGGAATTATTCTACACTACAAAAGGGAGCTACACGAGATCGTCCGACGAGAATGAATAACCAACAAAGAATGGATAGTCAAGAAAGCTCACCTCGAAGTGTAATATGCACTGAAACTGCGGTAGCAAACAGCTTAGATACCCCGCCCATGTTGGATCCGTTGAAGCTGTGCCACAGGATAAGAGCTACCTAAGGTGGGGGCTTGGATCTAAATGATCGTCATTGGCCGACGGCTCGCCAGCTTGTAAAAGTGTTATAGATAATACGACACACTTAGTAGTAAGTATGATAGTACATACAAGCTAGCAGGGTAAGATACCAAATGGAGAGTTGCAGGCTAGAGATAATATGTGGTAGCCATAGCCATGATACCATTGGCAGGTTTAGTCGGATTTCCATCCTAGGCGTCTGCCACATTACTCTTTATCCTAACTACCGCCCCCCATTTCGCAGATATTTCCGTAGAGTCATACCCAACGCTACTTTGGAGATTTTTCTTTTACGCTCTACAGTATCATGTCAATAGATTTCGCGGCGCCCAGAGCAGTCTCCTCGTTCAATCTGCGAGAGACGACTTGCAGACCGATCGGTAAGCCATCCATGGCATCGATGTCGAACAAGTCCCAGTTTCACTTGTCCAGTGCATTGCGCGGCTTGTACGCTCCCATCTTTTCAATAGCCTCGCTATCAAGTTCTTTCGACACATGCCCCCCCGGTAAAACGACGGCGGGGTAGTCCACAATGTTGAAGACCTTGGGTATACCCCATCCACCTGCATTTGCGATGTGGCACCGCAGTATGTGACATCACAGGTGTGAGGAGAATGTCGATTTGCTTCCCAGTGCGATTTGATTTTGTGGAGTTCCAAAGATTGAGGAAGCGTTCCTGGGCCGCTAGTTTTTGCTTGCTAAGTTGCCAGTATTGGTAGACTGAAATCGCTTTACCTCTGTTCACGAGAGCTTCGACATGTGGGATGTAGGGTTCTCCCTCAGCTTCCACGTCCCTGCGAATGTCCTCCCAGCCATCGGCTGTGTAGTACTGGTCCTTTGTATTTATTAGCGTGGAGAACTGTCTGCAAAACACTCCTGGCATACCATAATGTCTATGCATTCTTAGTGTAGGCTACCAGGCCTGCAGGAGATGATCTCGTGGCCTGCGTCACGCAGCCGTATCAGTGTCTCCTCTAACACTCGCTCGATTGGAGGATGGACTCTGACAACGCCGTCATCTCTCAGAACGGCAATGACCAGAGGCCGTGATTGTACATCCTCAAATGACTCAGCCCTCCATGGTATTGGCGAACACTTTGGGTCCAAGGACCACTGCTCTACGTCAAGTACCGCCTTGGTAACTACTATGAGCGAGTCGATATCTCGGCTCATGGGTCCGATGACCGACGGTACATGCTCTTGACCGTCGGTCGAGACAGAAACGCCTTGATAGGGGAGTCGTGTGCTCTGCTTACTATTAGCTGGATTCGTGACCCCAACTTCCTCTCGGTGAGACGCGTACGCTTGGTTTCAGACCATACACGCCGTTCACGTGTGAGGGTATGCGGATGCTGCCTCCAATGTCGGTGCCCCAACCACATAGGGTACCCCCTAACGAGAACATGGCTCCCTCTCCGCCCGTTGATCCACCAGCCGTGTAATCGGGTCGCCTCGGATGTACGGTGAGGCCCCACACGGGGCTCTCTGTTTCACACCACTGCTCCGATCAATGCTTGTGTATCTTTAAAATTTCTGTAGGGTCTAGGTATAGTCTAGACTAACTGAACTGTACTTGAATGACTTACCATTATACATTGCGGCAGATTTGATTTTGCGATAGGGATAGCACCCATCCGTTAGAGGATGGACACAATGAGTGAACCATGTGCTGCAGGCTTAAAGGCGCGTCCAACATAGCTCAAGGTGCTATCGTAGCCTTTGACATTGAATTGGTCCTTCAGGGTGATGGGAACACCATGCAAGGGTCCTATTAGACGGCCACTTTTCGCATGATATTCGTCAAGCTCTTTTGCCTGCTTGATTGCGTGGTCGAAGAGAATCTCTGTGAAGCTATAGAAGCCTCAGCTATACTACGGATTTTCGCGAGTATCCAATTGGGCATAGTACGTGTCAATTCGTCTAGGATCCATGGGTTAGCGATCTGTAGCCCCTGGACCATCGGTGGAGTTTAATGGTAGGTACAGTAGAAGGGAAAACATACCCGCTTGTGAGCATCGATCGCGCTGAAAAATGTGGCGTGATAATGGTTTGATTATTGAATTTTACCAAGATGGGCATACTGGTGGATGTAGGCGCGTAGCAACTGCGACGCAGTCACCACGCTCGAAGCAATGGCTTGTACGACGTCTCCCACGCTATCGATCGTTGCTAGATGCTCAACATGGCCATTTCGTTTCACAAACTCGTTGAGATGGGCCGACTGTGCAGTGGTCAATTACGCTTACGCATCGGGGGCTCGATGTCGGACCTCAGACCGCAAATTCTGGCCATCGAGATATTTCTGAATGGCATCGTCACGCAGCTTTCGCTTTGCATCGACCGTCAGAAGCCACTGGGGAGGCTCGGATGCCGCCATGATCACAGTAAAGGGTTGTCGAGAAAGCAAGTCAGGTCAAGTCAGGCCAAGTCACGTCAACCTAACGTTATCAGAGACAGACAGGCTTTCATACTACCTACGGAATCTACCATAGGCAATAGTGTACCGGTATTGTGCTGCCAACCGGTATGTCTGCCTCATCCCCGAGAAGACACACCGCTACAACACAAGCCCATTCCGTTACCCGCAGCCTTATCACCTGGGAGCCCACACAATGGCATTGGTTTAGTTCTGTTCGAGTCCACGTGGTGGCGGCCGTCTATTCGGTCCCAGAGCGTCAGAGACGAATAGTGGGGGAAGATCCAAGACTCAGACCAGGACCAGGACCAGGACCAGGACCAAGACCAAGACCAGCAAGAACAGCCGAAGCGCATCCTCACCTAATCACCGAAACACAACAGCACCGCGGAAGCTACGCATTCACTGAGCCATCCCTGATGCTCATCACACCATCACGGAGATCTTTTCGCGCGTCGAAATCCTGACGCAGTTTTTTTCGTGCAAGATGGAAACCCACAATGGGTTGAAAATGGGCAGATGCTCAAGAGAGACTCGCCACATGTTGCCGCTCCATCCCTCACGTACCCCCATTTTCGCATACCCCTAGCGGCTCCTTCATACATAACTACACAACCTTATAGCAATGTCACCGTCAATATGGAGTCTTATGAAGCGCTCGAATTCCCACAGCTCGTCCTCCTCAAAGCTACATAGGATGGCTCCAGGTCTCACTGTTGATTCCGACTCCCGTTCAGCGGGCAGCAGTAGCATGGAAGCTACGTCACAGTTCTCGTATACCAAGGACGAAGACTACTCGAGCTTCATGAGTGATGTCTTGGTAGTTGGTGCGGGACCTGCTGGTCTCATGCTCGCGTAGGATAACTGTATCTCGTCTCAACGAACATACGCTTATAAACACAGCAATAACCTGGTGAGGTATGGCATCAAGGCCCGAATCATCGACGACCGACCTGACCGAACCGCGACTGGGCGCGCTGATGGCATTCAACCCAAAACGATCGAGACACTACGCCAGATGCGTGTTGTAGAGCCCCTGCTGCGTAAAGGGGTCAAAATTTATGACATTGCTTTCTGGAAGTCGACGCCTACGAGATCGCTGCATCGGACTGGTCGTGAGCTCCACTACCCGCCTATTGTCGATCTGCTAGACCCCTACATTCTCCTCGTCCATCAGGGCATGGTCGAAGCTGTGTTTGAGGATGACTTGAGGGAAAGAGGTACTGTCGTCGTTAGAAATACCACATTCGTTGATTTCGAATACACGCCAATGTCTATTCGTCCCTTGACGGTCAATTGTCGACAAGAGCTCTTACAAGCCAAGAAGTCTTACTCGACAAGGTATATTGTCGGCTGCGATGGAGCACACTCGAAAGTACGGAAATGTATACCAGGCGCCACACCAGTTGGCTCATCCACAGAGACTTTATGGGGTGTGCTGGACGGTGTCCTCGATACAGACTTCCCAGACATCTGGTCAAAGGTGGCCATACAATCAGAAGCATATGGCTCGATCCTGTTGATACCGCGCGAACGAGGCCTTACCCGTCTGTACATTGAATTGAGGCCAGGTTCTTTCGAGGCAGCCGGCAAGGATCTTGCATTCCAAGAGTTTGTGCAGAAGCGGGCCCAAGAAATTTTGCACCCATACAGATTAGAGTGGAGGAACATGGAGTGGTTTGGTCGCTATAGGATTGGCCAGCGAGTCGCGGCACGCTTTATCGATGACGAGCGACGAGTATTCATTGCTGGCGATGCGAGTCACACCCATTCACCTAAGGCGGCTCAGGGGATGAACACGGGAATTCATGACTCGTGGAACCTGGCATGGAAGCTGAACTTTGCAGTTCGAGGCCTTTCAAAACCCAGCCTTCTCGAAACTTACGAGCAAGAACGGCAAAAGATTGCAAAGGATCTGATTGACTTCGACTACGAACATGCCAACGCCTTCCACGCTGGAGATCCAGTAGCCCTCGCCGCGAATTTTGCCAAGAATGTCGAATTCATCTCGGGATACGGTGTGAGCTACGATCCCAACGTACTAAACGTACGATCAAAGGGCTACCATCGCGGTCACCTCAAGCCTGGGTTCCTTCTTCCACCTGCCAAAGTTACTCGTTACATCGACTCCAATCCAGTCGACATCCAAACAGATATTCCTGCTCTCGGCCAATTCCGAATTTACTTCTTCACACACAGCGTCAAAGCTTCGATGCCTTTCCTAGAAGCAGTGTGTACAGCACATGCCGGTCCTTCTTCATATGTCGGTCGTGTAACAGCGGCTGGAAACGCCTCGTACACTTCACAACCGCCTCTGGCCGCACCACACGACCAGTTTGTCCTCCCAGAGCGGTACACACCCATCAGCGGAATTTTTACTTACGGTCTCGTGACTGATGAAGATCGTAATGGCATTGAGATTAGGGACCTGCCTCTCGTTCTGCGCGAGTCCGCTTGGACGTTCTATCTCGATGATGTCCCCGAGAAAGATACGCGCAAGCAGACATGTATGGAGAAATGGCTAGACGGGCTAGATGAGAATGAGGTAGCGGTCTTGAATGTCCGACCTGATGGCTATGTGGGCATTGTGCGACGATTTCCAGTTGGGGACCGGCAGAATGGCACAGCTGCAGTGCACTGGATGGACGACTATTACGAGAAATTTCTGAGGGATTCATAGGTGTGGCTTTCAAGAGAAAAACATGGGTGGACGGTGTATGTGCAGTCGGCTTGGGTTATGAGATTTTTGATCAATGATGGGCAACATCTGTCGTGTTCTAGTGCAATTCTTTCAAATAGACAGTAGGGGTCTCAAATAGGCCTGAAATAACAAATTCAACGGTTTGTTTGAAGGTCCTGTCATAGCAACTTCCCTGACACAAGACATGCGACTGGGTCATGCAAATAGTTCCATCCGTGGCTGCCCGTGAAGCAAAGACTCATCAGGAGGGCGTCGTCACCACTATACGTTCTTTATAAGGTCAGCGCATGAAACATCGAATCGGCAAATCTATTAGCCTATCATCACAATATCTACCCCCATGCTGATGCGTCAGCGTCATCGTTGCGCGTCCTTTCTCTGAGACGAATCTTGCAACCAAGGCAGCAGGTTTCCAGCGCTCTAAATGTAGGCGACGAGAAGGGTTTACCGGTAGTTTCCAATTGTCTTCTGTGAGTAGCAGAGAGACACTTGTGAACTGTTTTGAAGTCGTGATTCCTGCTGCGTGATAATCACATCTTATTACAGATGGGACTCTAAGATTTCGAAGAACAGGCCGCAATCAACTCAGATGCTGAACATAAGCATGAAATATAAGATCTCATGGTTCCCTGGAGTTCTCACGACTCCTCTTTGTTATTGTAACTGGGAAGGGTGCGACATACAAGTTCTCAGATGCAGTGTCAAGAGAACCGGTCGGGAGGGTCTTGCAACGAAATGCATCACGAACTGCAATTCTCGCACAGTGCACCAAGAAGTTTTCAAGAAACAAATAAAAGGGGCAATCTTCAAAGTGGCATCAAGTTGTGGCCAGTCCTCAACTGCACCTAATACAGCATCATCTTGGAAATGACAGGCAGACCCATCATCGTATGCTGCGACACCTCATATCCTAGACATCGCTGGTCTCACTACATTGACCCCTCAACTAAAGACCAACCTTTGAGAATGTTACTTCTCTTCTGTCATGTCGGATACTATGAGGAGCGCATCAGTCCAAGGCCTCCACTTTATAGTTATTGAAACGAGATTTGCTGTGGAACTAGTACATTCTTGGGCCCTGCTCAGCTTGTATGCATTGCCAGGATCGATGGCTTAAAGCATGCAATCCAAATCGGACGTTGCATAAAACATCACAGTGTACTAAGGCAAGAAAAATCGAAAACTATATAACCGGCGTGCGGGTCGCAACAGAATCTAGATCTGGAGGATCATTCACTCCTCTTGAGGGTGCCTGAATCTTGATCCCACGTGTCTCGCTTCGGGTTATATATATGGCCAAGGAAATTCCGCATCTCGCTTGTGCAACATGAAATCTCTCACCAGCAATTCTGGAAGGCCATTTAGTTTGTTATCCGGTTATATTGTAGTGCATGTTCCCAACCCGGCTAGTAACGTTACCCATCCAATATACTCCAAGCCTTTGGAATTGCTGTGTCCACTCTATTCAGCCATCGCAAACTAAATGCCGCACAAAATACCATCTATTGACATGTTAAGGGGTATAACCGGCTTGATCGATATTGTTGCAGGAATGTCATCATGGATGAGGCTCCTCCGCATCTCAGGTACGGTCCGCGCCCAGCTTGATCACTGCAGATTCCTCAATTCCTCCAATTGACGTCTGTTTACTCAATAGACATATAGAACACACGTGTACGCTTTCATGGAAAAGATGCTCTCGCATCTCTTTAACTCACAATGTCTATTTTAGTTCCTCTTTACATCTACCCCAGTCCCGGCGCTTGGGATCCATTGTACTCAGCGTGAGTTGTGGATCGACTAAACCACATGCTTTGCTGATCCAATCGCAGTGCAAAGTCACATTGGGATGTTGAATTCACGGTGATTCTCAATCCATGTTCTGGACCATGCATGGGCTCTCTGCCCGATCAAGTCTATCTCGACGAGATTCCCAAGCTGCAATCATACCCCAACATCCGCACACTAGGCTATGTCGCAACGCACTACCTCGACAAGGAAATTGAGACTGTGTTTGCAGAGATCGACACATATGCAAAATGGCCCACAGTTTCAAATATATCCAAGATGCGTGTTGATGGCATCTTCTTCGACGAAACACCTAGCTCGTTCGACCCACAGGGATATGAGTATCTCCAACGCGCGCAATCGGCAGTGCGCAATCAGACAACATTCAAGGACCATTTCGTCGCGCACAACCCTGGCATTCTATCGCCAGGGATACTCAATTCGAAAAACATATTACAGCAATCTTACCTCAATCTCACGGACCTGACCGTCGTCTTCGAAGAGACGTTTGAAAAGTGGTTAGACAAGGAAACACTCGATCCGCTGCAAGCACACAAGATTCGGCGGTCCAAGCTGGCTGTTATTCTACATTCCATGCCCCATTTGAGCGATCATTTTCTTGACTTTGTGGTCGATCAAGTGGAAGAGACGGGGGATTGGCTATTCTTGACAAATGTGCAAGAGGTGCATGAGTACTATCATAGTTTCAGCCCGATGTTTGCGAATATGGTTAAGGCGGTGGATACTGGGCTAGGGAAGAGAAGAAGAGATAGATAGACAAGCTTGCAATGGGTGTACGATTCAATTACATTCTGATTCAAATAGACTATATATGTTAGGATTTTGGAAAGCCTCAAATTTCATCAGCGGTCGTGCTGTATGCGTAAAACATGTCCAGACAGAAAATGTTCTGGTATATAACAAGCAGTGGCACTACAAGGAGCGAGGGAGCTGACAGTAATGCATCACAAAGAGGACCTTGAATCTAGAAATTCAAGCAAGAAAGTCCAGAGACATTCCTCCCACCATCATCATTCTGCGACCAAGCATCGAAATGTTCTTCTCAGAAGCTAGGTACCGGTACGACACCATGTAAAGTGATGATGTAAAGGATAATTGTATATTTATTTGCATATCCTGGGTAGATGTTTCACATTATTGGGTTGAATATCGTCTGTGTGAAAGCCTATGACCGCCGTCCCGTTTTGAGGAATGGCTAGCTTGGCAACTTCATCTGAACTTTCGCAGAATCAATATAAGATGTTGCTCGACAACATGTTACACGCTATCTATTCTAGTCGAGAATTCATCTTTGTTCTCACTGCGCAGCGCGTGGTTTGCTTCAAATGACCAAAGGAGCAGTGCGAAGGGACGCCCCGGGCCTCTCCCGGCTTTGTTTGAACCCGCCAGCCAGGCATCGCCAAAACGTTGCGCAAAGGCGCAGCCGTGATGGTTTGCCACAAACAAAACGGATAATTGTAAAATGACGATGACCCCGCCGATTCACCCACAACTTTCGTGTAGCTTTTTCTTTTTCTTTTCCTGTTTCTCACCTCAATCCTCTCCTTCCAGATGAGTCCACAGCAGCGAAGACAGGCAGCATCGGGAAACTGCCCATGGGGCGGTTTCTATCAGACTTGTGCGACGGGTTTCAAAGGTTGCTGCTTAGTTGATGCATGCACGACTGGATGTCCAGATGGTAAGGACACGACTGATCCACCTGACTATGCGAGCGAGGCTCCTACGCCAACATTGACGGCGAGATCGAGTACGTCGATTTCAAATACAAGAACTACAACCAGAAGCGAAGTTGTCAATAGCTCAGCAACTGCAACGACAATTCCACCTGCATCTACTGCGAGCACACTATCGTTGGATGTGATTACCTCCATATCGGCAGGACAGACGATATATGTGACAGTGGATCATCCTCCCACAGCATCACCAACAGCATCCAATCCTGTTTCCAAGAAGCCGTCGCATGAAGGCCACTCTCCTCGAACCGCTGCAATTGTCGGAGGGGCACTGGGAGCCATTATCTTTCTCATTGCCATAGCGATCGGTTCCTTTCTCTGCTTGAGTAGAAGAAAGAGAAAGTCCTACCTGTCGCCCAAATATCCATCCCAGCTCATTGGCAGTGACATGTCGGAGGAATTGCATGGTACGTACCAGAAAGGACTGACTTGCTCTGGTGCCTTGCTCTAACGATGCTGTAGAAAATGCTTCATTGGAAGTTAACACTAGGAAGCTTAACATGTATCGATCGGGATCTGGAGGTAGTCGTCATGTTACACCACAGCTTGACGGTCGAGAGATCAAGCAACACGAGACTGCCTCTCAAAGCTTGAGAAGCAGCTTTGCTGAGCTTCCCGCCGAACCATTGCTATGGCCTGGTCAACATGGGACTGGCCGTTCATTTTGACATGTCCTATAGGCATGCCACGACAGAATATGGAAGTGACTGGGGTACACGAATTTCGACAGCCATAGGTATGGGGCCGCTCAAGGATGTACCAAGGTGATGGAGAACTTGTGTTCATCTTGTAGATTGAAGAGTCCCTGGGCGTAGTATTTAATTAATAAATCATGTAGATACTAATAGCAGGGAAATAGTTGAAGGATGTGACGGTATGGAAAGCAAGCATGTCGGGACAATCTGAAATGCAGTTCTTAGTTCTCTTTTCACCCCAAACTATAACCATTGAGGGCAGTGCAATTCGCCTCTCTCCAGTTGATCTTTGTTTCTACCCTCTGTTGGTTCCCTTTCTCTGCAAGGTCTGTCTGCGCCAAAAGGGGTGGGATGACAAGGCCTTCACGTGATTGTGCAAGATCCTTCGATTGCTTCCTTGCCCTTTGCTTTGGCGTCTGCTCTGCATATCATCTTGTCAGCTTCCCGCTGTTCTCAATCATTGCAATGACTTTCAGAGATCTTTACTCTTCAAGAGTGAACTGTTGTAGGCTCTGTACTCGGACACCTGGCGGCCAGTAGTGTCGGAAGACAGCAGCCCCGCCAAACTGACGTCACGCGCCAGCACCGAGCCCTCACTTTTCAGCTTTAAAAGACGCAAACACGGTCTGTCATTGCCAACAGAGATCGACAGCGCGATCCAAATAGTTGCAACACCATGTCTGAAAAAGGCGCACTTCCAACCAGTGCAGGAGCGCAAGAGGCACGCCCAGCATCAATTTCGATACCCCGCTACTTCCGCAATGATGCACCACTGGCAAGACGTGATCCTCATAAGCAACTCATGGCGTCTCTAGACCGCCTCATCATCCAGTATCCTCCCCATCACGTTCCACCGGGTGGAGGCTTCTACTATGGACCCATTTCCGTGGCTTTCTTGTTCTACACTCTGCATAACCTATACCCTGACCTGAAGCTGGACGGCTACCCGCTGAACACATGGTCAGCAGCGTATATCGAACAGGCACAAGCAAACATCAAAAAATTCCCGGCGCCATCGCCGAGCAAGTGTGGTGTGTCTAACGACATCATGTCACTACTCGCCCTGTACGCTGTGACAGCAGGTGATTCAGACACAGTGAAGGATCTTTGCGATCATGCGGCCGTCATGCTGGAGCCCGAGACTTCAAATGAGTGGTTATACGGCCGTGCTGGTTATTTATACCTGCTGAGATTTGTTCGTGGAGCGTTCAAGGCGAATAAGAAGGTGATGGAGCTCATCGAAGATACAGCCGACGAAGTGATTGAGAATATCATGGCCAGTCCCCGTCCTTGGAAATGGCATGGCAAAGCCTACGTTGGTGCAGCTCATGGAGCTATTGGAATCATAACGCAGATAGTGCTGACCGAACCATCCTGGGCACCAAAGCTTGAGGCTGAATTGGGTGCGCTCCTCAGCTACCAGTATGAAAGTGGAAACTTCCCATCGTCCCTTCCGCCGGGACGCGACAGACTGGTACAATTCTGCCATGGTGCACCCGGTGTGATCACATCTCTTGTGTCGATTCGATCTTATTTCCCTGGACTTCACGAGCGCATAGACAGGGTGATAGCAAAGGCTAGGCAGTGCGTATGGGAGCGCGGCCTGCTGACTAAGGAACCATGCCTCTGTCACGGCATCACCGGGAATGCGCTTGCCTTGGATGGGAAGCAATTCGAACACTTCATGACCTACACAACAGGCCATGAAATCAAGTCCATGGCCAAAGACGGCATGCTTGAGAAGTCTGACAATCCTTCAGCACTATGGTACGGCGAGGCTGGCCGTGCTTGGGGATGGGCTCTCGCAGACAAACAACTGGAAAAACGGTTCCTAGGATACAACGACATTTGAGCTTGAGGGTGGTGTAAGGAAGGAAAATAATTTAGCTCACAGCGTATATGAAGGAACGAGATTACGACACGATTTTACGATCTGGAGCGACAGCAATCCATGGTCGATTAGTTTGCAACTTCTCAGCCAGTACGAGGCTAATGAATACGGCTAGCCGCATACCCGGTGACCGAACAGGAGTTCTCTTTCTAGCGTTTTTCATACCGTCAATCCACTAGTTCTCATTGTCTGCAACGTTTTACTCGTGTTCCAACCAATCGAACAACATATGCCCTGGCAAGAGAATAGATTCTCGTGGTTGAAGGACCAGCAAGGACCCAATCTGTGCCATCATCACCAAGTGATGTATCTCGCGTGTGATATTGTCTTGCTAATTTTGTCCAGCTATTCATCGCACTTGTTTCCCCTGTGAAATGCTCAAGAGTACAAGATCCATACCGGACCAGAAAGCTGCACTATACAGTCCCAACTTACTCACGTGTGGTCCGTTGCAGTTGCAACAACTTGCGGGTGTAACTGCGTACCAAAAAGTACCCTAGAAGGCAATGACTTCCCATGGAATTGATCCTATCCCGTCCCGAAGATAACATCCCGGAGGATCCACGCATCATCGAAAGACGTGCGTGCGTGCCCATCGCGTGGAGAGGAAACGAGCACCTTGTCACTTCGCCTTGGCCCAGTCCACAGTCGCCGCCTTTAGCGGCATGTAACAAGAGGTCATCATTCAAGAGTTGTGCACCAGCGCCGCAACGCCCAGCCAGGTAACTGGCATCATCTTCGCCTACGGATATGCCAAGGTCTCGAAAGCCTCTGTCATTCAATGCTTTTGTCAACTGGACCAGCTTTCACTAACTTTAGGGCTAAGTCAGCGGCATTTTCAGACGCTGAGCACAACCCAAGAATGGCTTGACGCCTAGCTGCTTGCTTGCTGTTCTCCGACTTGACCGCCTCGGATGTGAGGATGGAGCTGGCGTTCATCGACGACCACTAGGTACTGCGAAGCAGATGCTTTGCATAGCCTCGGGCTAATGTAATCTTGTCTAGGAGTACGGCAGTGCAAAGATCCAGATTTGTTTGTCTCCCTGCTTGCACACCGTCTACGAATGTAAGTACCAAGATTCTAGGGTGTGATGTTTTTGTTTTGATAAGAACTTTACTAGTGGATTGCGGACTACGGTAGTTATTACTCGGTACCACACCACTCACTGCGCACTTTCGAAGAAGCCTCCATGATACAGCTTGCTGAAGATCCTCGCTCGTGCGACAAGAGTTGCACTTCTACCCATCAGCGGCTATCAGATGGGCAAGACGCAGTGACTCAGAAGTGCTAAAGCTAGACGCACTAATGAATACCATATACGGCATCGTCGTTTGCAACCAATATCCAGGTCTTTTGCTGACTTTCCCCTTCATGCAGGACCCTTCTTTAGTCCTGCACCGGTCCCCGACAAACGCCTTCGAAAAAAAACCCCTCTGCCTCAAATCTTTTCCTAGAACAAACCGTCCTACTCGGGAGAAAGAGGTTATACCAAGCGGCTGAGCGCCACACTTCCCACTCGACATGCTCTTGCCATTCCTCGCTCCTTGCCTAGTCTTTTTGCTCGCCGTGTCAGTGGCAGTATGCACACCGTATCACGCTCCTGCTTCACTGCGGCCCAGAGATATCGCGGGCGTGGTCCGCGGTGTGAATACAACGGATGAAAATGGTAAGACTATGTACTTTCCTCGCGCCCAAATCCTACTCTTTTGCTAACATGGAAACTCGCCCACAGGCCACGTCTACGTCCGCCGCGAGATCCGCGACTTGAAGGAGAACCACGCAGACCAGTGGAATCTCTACCTGCTGGCGCTCGAGCGACTTCAAGGCAGTGACCAAGAAGACCCATACTCGTACTACGGTCTCGCTGGTAAGTAGGGCAAACACCGCCAGGACCATTTTTATCGTGGCAGCTCGTCAACTTACAGGTTTTTTCCCATCCATTTAGGTATCCACGGCCGACCGTACCAGGTTTGGCAGGGCGCGCCAGGCCTCACACATAAGCTCGGGGCGGCGAGTTACTGCCCTCATAGCAACGAATTGTTTCTCGGTTGGCACCGGCCATATCTTGCCTTATTCGAGGTTCGTACTGGCGTTTGAAGCAACTTTACTGAGTGTGTGGGGGGCTCGTGGCTAACTCTCACGGCAGCAAGTGCTGCATGCCCATATGCAGGAGATTGCCGCCACAGCGCCTGTCAAGGAGGCAAAGCGATTCGCAGCAGCCGCCCAGTCCTTCCGCATGCCTTACTGGGACTGGGGTCTCGGGGGCGCAAAAGCTGTGGTCCCGGAGTTTTTCATGCAGAAGAGTATACGGATTGTGGAGCTTGATGGGGTGGAGACGATGATGAGGAATCCGCTGTATGCGTATAGGTTCCATCCGCTGGTGCCGGGAGACTTTACGCACAAGGTAAGCAAGGCCACCGCGATGACCAATTTCCGGGGATTTATCTGAGGAGGGGGCAAAATTGGGGAACGAGAATGCTGACGAGGTTTGGAAACAAAGTGGATGGGTATCAACGAGACGGTGCGCTGGCCGGACTCGGACAACTTCACTGCGCCGTCGCGACAAGAAGTGTTTGCCCAGACCTTCATCGAGCAGTCGACCAGTCTCATCAGCGGCATCGAGACTGCGTTTCGCGCCAGCAATTTCTCGGGCTGGGCGAAACAGCTCGAGGATCCGCATGGCTGGATGCACGGCATCATTGGCGGCGGCTGGGACGAGACGCAAAACAAGACAAAGTATAGAGGGCACATGTGGCCGCTGGAATACTCTGCCTTTGAGCCGCTCTTCATGCTGCATCATACGTACGTCCACCCGATCCTCCCCCATCTCGCCAAACAACCCTCCCCAGCCTCTCCCACCTACTTGCCAGCCCACCCACTAACAATCTACACCCTAACCAACAGCAACGTCGACAGACTCTGGGCCCTCTTCCAAGCCCTCAAACCAAACGTAACAATGGGCACCTCCAACATCGGCCCCAACGGCAACGTCTTCCTCGAAAACCACCAACTCGTAAACGACACCACCTCCCTCCTCCCCTTTCGCCGCGCAAACGGCGCCTTTTGGCAAACCCGCGACACGTACGACACCCGCGTGCTCGGCTACGCCTACCCGGAGACGCAGGCCTGGGATTTCGCCTCGACAGCCGCATATCGCGCACACGTCACGAGCGCCGTTGCCACGCTGTACGGCAGCAAGACGCGCGCACTGCTCTTGCAGAGCAAGAATCAAGTTACGGGCGGTCTGCTGGGCGCGTCGCTGCACGACGACGACACGTTTACGGATTGGACGATTGAGTCCGAGGCCCGGGTTGGCAGTTTGCCGTCCACCTTTATCATGCGATTTTCCCTGGTTTGAAACAGATTCGCTGTGGCGCCTGTCGATGTTGGTGCGTGGACGCGATTGACGCCTGCGACGCATGAGCGGGCGACGACGAGTGTGGGTCGGGGTCAGAAGGGAGTGCTGGCCGAGCGGGCGACGGGGCAGGATGTCGTGCGTGGGACGACGGGGTTGACGACGCATTTACTTGATCAGATTCAGGCGGGGCAGCTGGAGAGTTTGGGGGCGGACCATGTGGTGCCGTTTTTGAGGGAGAGGTTGGTGTGGAAGGTTTTGTCGGTGTGTATTTTTTTTCTGTACCTTTTCCTTTTTTTTCTGTACTTTTTCCTTTTTTCCTATACTTTTTCCTTTTTTTCTGTACTTTTTCCTTTTTTTTCTGTACTTTTTCCTTTTTCTTCTGTACTTCTTCCTTTTTTCCTGTCATCATCGTCCCTGCTTTCTTCAACCAGCTTGCTTTCTCATCCCCGGTCAATCTCCCGTCTAATACATACCACAGGGTACCGGCAACGTCATCACTGGCCCCTCTCTCTCCGCCCTCACCATCCAAGTCGCAAGTTCCAAAGCGCATATCCCAGAGGACCCGGGCGCGCTGGTCGAGTACGGCAAGGAGCGGAAGCGGTATCCGGAGATTACGCGGGGGAAGCCAGGGGGAGGTGCGGCATAAAGTCGAGATTGTCTTTTCGTCTGGAGTCTGAGGGGTGCGTGCAGGCGGGGCAGTAGAAGGACATGTGGGGAGGGAGAATTTGAACTTGATAAGGGATGGGTGGTGTAGAATGTTACAAGCGTTTGCTTGAATGTGTGTTTTGTCATCGAGTCGGGGTGAATAATTTAGACATGCGTTCTGTCACACGGTCAAAGCATTCACCCCAAGGTCCTCAAAACGAGAGATTGTGCGTGTCTGCGGTTAAAAAAGAGGTGAGAAAAAAAAAGCAAGAGAAAAAGGGTCATGGTACTGAGAAAGAAAAGTTTGGAAACTGAAGTGTCTTGTTGTTTTTGTTTATTTGCTTATCATTCTCTCACTCAGAACAGGGTGGATGTTTATAGTTTCCCGCTTTGTCTTCTCTTTAAATCGTTGTTGCTGGAAGAAAGAAAGGGGAGATGGGGAAGAGGGGGTGTGATACTGGCTTGATTGCTATCAGACAGAGATAGTGAAAACTCGAGACAGGTGAAGAGCGTGAGAAATGGCAAGTAAGGGCGGCCTTGGCGTCAGCTGGCCCCAGTCACCCATAGCGATTCCTCTAGGGAGGTGTGTCAATGCTGGCCTCGATGGCTACGTGGTGAATAGGTGTGAGAGATGAGACAGGCCTGGGGTCTTCACATTTGCCGATACCCTGTCCGAGTAGTCAGCTTCCAGTGGCCTTTTCAGACCTCTCCACGTGCTCAAGCATACGCAATTTGTTCAGCTCGTCGAGGATGGGCTGGAGATCATCGGCGTGCATCTTGGTGGCCAGGGACGGGATGAGGTAGGTTGCTTCTTCGGCGGTCTCGGGGGTCAGTGTGCCTGGTTTGTCAGCCTCTTGCGCTCGGTGTCCACTGCAGGGTAGTGGGTGGGGGGAGGGGGATGGTTTGTGGTGTACCTAGCATAGCCTTTTCCACGGTGGACAATTCGGGGTGGGTATCGAAGAGGGCGGCGATGGAGTGCAAGCTTTCCTCCTCCTTGAATCGTGAAAAGTTTTCTAGGTAATCGAGGAACTGTGTGATGGTCCTGCAAACAAGTCAGCGAAGGGGTTTCCCTGGTGTTTCTGCCCAGCCCTGGCTTGACGCACTGTTGGTCGTTGTAGATTCTGTCGCGTAGAGGGTTGTTCTCCGGGTCCTTCTTCTTGCGTGCCTCGTGGACTGCTGTGACGACTGCACGCGCCTCGGAGACGGAGAGGGCATGGACGTCTTCGAAATCGCCCAGTCTGATCTCGGTGCCCATTTCTTCTTCTTGCTGAACGGGTGGCTTTGGTCGCGAGACTAGTCGTGGGGCCTTGAAGACGGGCTGCTGGGCCTGCACCTGGTTGGGCTCGGTGCTGTCTCCTGGGCCTTCCTCCATGCTGCCAAAGTGAGGGGGGACGCGGGGTGAGAGGCGGGCGGGAAAGACGTGAGGAGGGGAGGGTGCGATGACGGGGTGAGGGTCAGGCTCGCGTCTTTGTCGGATCACTTGATTGGCTAGTGGGCTTGTCTTTGTGTCTTTGATTGTGTCGTGTCGTGTCGCGTGGGGGGGAGGGGGGGATTGGGTAGGTGAAAGGGGTCAAGCGTCAACGGTGTGGAGTGTTCGTGGTCCTCTAAGCGAGTGTGTTGGTTGAAGCATGTAGTTAGTCCCACAGGCTGTGTTTGACTTTGTTCGGGCGATGCGTGGTGAGTGTGGGCAAGCCAGGCCAGAGTGCAACGGATAGGGTAGACCAGTAGCGCGGGTGAGAGGCGATGCCAAGGCTGGTTGGCCCTCTGCCAGCTGGATGGATCGAACGGGACATCCCGTCCCTGCCCGTGGCTTCTTCCCCGCCCTGCTGTCTAGAGTATGTGCCTGGCTGGGTATTCTACCATTCGTGTAGGTATATAGAGGCCACTACTGGCTGACCATGGACTGCAGCTGCATCTATACCAGGTGCATTACATGAAGCAGATCCAACGGTCGAGACTCCAAGACAAGGCTGGACCGTGGAATGGGACACTTGTCTTTGGGAAGACGACGAGGACACAAGGTGCCAGGTGCAGCCATAGCATGAAGAATATACGCTGGGAAAAAGGTTGAGTAAGTGACGGGATCTGCTTTGCACCGACATAGATTTGGAGACGGGACTGTTCACTAACCTGCTTCCTACCAGCAGGTTAGTATATTCACTCACCACAACAGGGGCCACATCCGACAGAAGGCAGACTCGAAGGGGGCAGGGCTGTGGATCGTAATTCAAGTCGGGACGAGTGCGGACTAGCGTTGGTGTGGCGGTCATGCTGCTTGGACAATTGACGGCCAGCCTCGCCCTCCCTAACACAACAAACACGTGCAGCGCGACAAAGAGAGAGGGAGAGAGTCTGAGAGTCTGAGAGAGGGAGAGTGAGTGAGCGTGGGAGTGAGAAAGACAGTAGAGAGACAGTAGGAAGAGAGAGAGAGAGAGAGAGAGAGAGAGATAGACACACACACACAGAGAGAGAGAGAGAGAGAGATAGACACACACACAGAGAGAGAGAGAGAGAGAGAGAGATAGACACACACACAGAGAGAGAGAGAGAGAGAAGAGAGACTGCTCTTGCTAAACACCTGAACAAGCAAGAAAAAGGCCATTGCCCAAGTCTACCATGGCTCCAAGATATATATGGCAGTATAAATATATAGTAGAATACTAGTGTACCCTTGACCCAGACAGGCCTCTGCCTGCTGCTGTCCCCGTCCCTTCTCTCTCTCACTCTCTCTCTCTCTCTC